AAAGCAATTGAACATACCAAGGCTTGAGTCAGGGGCATCTATTAGTCTGTAAACTAATACTCTTGCTTTTTAGCAGTTCAAAGAGATGTGTAGCAGATTTGTCCAAAGCATTATTTGGTACCTAACTACCACTTCCATGAGTGCTGACTGTGGATCCAAATAAAAATGAAGTCATTATCAACTTCAATTTTTTCTCCCTTTATCATGATGTTCCCTTTGGCCCAGTTGTGACTGATGATTTCTTGGTATTTTTTATTTTTTCATGTTGAGGTGTATTTTATACTAGAAGTGTATTCTCCACATAATTCTGTTATTTTTTCCCCCAGTAAATACTTCATGTCTTCTTAACTTTTAGGAAGTAGGGTGGTATTATCTGTATTTTAGTCTGTTTATGAGTATTAGTTAATCCAATTATGATACTATGCTCCTCATATAACCAAGCTTCTAAAATATTTGATTCTACGTGTTGACTGAATCAGTATGGAGAAAGGATACCACTCTGACATATGTATTTATTTAGGTTTTAAATACTTTTGGCAAGATTTTATTTGTATATAATATAATAGTATCCTATCTTCCATATTCTTTAGGATCACCTATTTTTTGAAAGGGTACACATGTGAGTGAATTTCTTCCAGTCAGGAGCCAAGTGGCTTATCTTGGTAATTTATGGCACAGGAAAGTGAGCACTTCTAGAACTTCATTTGTTTATTGAAACACCTAAATTTATATTCCATCAATAAAAGGAGTCTTCTTGCCATCCCCCCATTGATTTTAATGCAACCTGGACTTCTTGTTTCAGAATCATATACTACATCTTGAGCATATGCTATATCTTCAGTGTTGACTAGTTCTTTTTGAGTACAACTTAAATTTAAACTTATATGCGAGTGCCTAGAGCATAGAAAATGGTACATGGGGAATCGGGGCCATGATTGTTTTTCTGAAAAGGCCAGAGGGAGTGAAAACAGCACAGCCCTTCACTTCCCTTGAGTGGAAAGCAGTGAAGTGCCCATAGCCCAGACTCATGGTGCCTGTAGAGGCAGAGCAGTAACAAGAAGTTTGTTTATTCACTTTGACTCACACACTGTGCTCATTATTGTAGTACCAAGAATGAAGTTTATTAGGGAAATAAGTTGGAGAATAGGGGGAGAAATATCTCACAATCCAAGCCCAAGATTAGTCCAGCAGTCCCAAGCATAATAAACAGCAGAATGACATTTCTTAATTAGTAAAAGTCCTGGTTTCACTTCAGCAAAACAAATTCAAGAAGCCTCTGATTTCTTCACTTATTCAGCAAGAACAGCTATAAGTCTGATTCTTCTTATTTATACAAAAAGCACAAAAAACTTTGGCCTTTATCTTAGGGCTTCTCTGGTTACACCTTGCCACAGTTTATCCACAGCAATACCAGAGTCTCTCTTAATTGCCACCAGCAGAGTATGACTCCATCTGGCTCTCAGCAGAGCCTTGTTCCAGTCTCCCTCAAGTATTGCTGCCTATTGTAGGAAGCAAGCTCTCTCTCTTATCCCAGTCCAGTTATTGAAAATTTGCAAGACCATATATCTGCAGTTAAGGTAGCGGGAGACCAGAAGTGGCTAATGAAATGACTAGGAAAAGGATAACTTCAGGCTAACATCACAATCCCATCTTCTGGCTTTCCTAAGCCATTATTTCTCATTATCTAAAGGATCACCCTTCCCCTTACCTTAATTTATATTTAGGGAAACATGTAAACAAGGATCTTTACTCCTTGCATCTTAATTCCACCATTTAAATAGCCAAATTAAAAAAAATATGTCCACGTCTATTATATCAGTACTCTGAGGAAATAAGTATCTTATATTACAATTCCATCTGTATATAAAAACAAAGGTCCAGGTAAAAGCAAACCATAAGGTCACAGAAATCAATACTAGCTTATAAAATGAAACATGTTCTCTTCATCTGGTTAGAATCTGGTCAATATATCCCATAATCCATGTCTAGGTCCAAGTAGATATCTGCAGCAACCTCAGAAATCCACACTTCCTGTGTTTCAAACTGGCTGGATCCTTCACACAACCTTAGCTCCACAATGAGTAATTGATGCTTTGATACAAAATGGGCCCATGGCTCTCATGTCCTGTTATTTAATTTTTCCACCATCTCTTAGCAAAAGATAGTCAGTTAGTTCCTCCATAGTTTATATTCCTGCATAGTGAGGTCCATGTGTATATCTGCTGTTTATGCTAGCTTTTATTTTTATTCTTTGGGATTGTTGAGTTTTTGCAATGAACATATTGTACAAAATTCTATCTTGTAAACCCTGGCCTCATTTCTATAATTAAGATCTCATTTTCACAGGGTCCCACAGTGTGATGGGGGAGTGGTGGTGAAGGAAATGGGAAAGATCCGATGTGAAAAACAATGTATTCAATTTTGTAAGTAAACCAGTATAAATAATTTTTTTAAAGTGCATGAGCAGATCTGAGTCTCATCTAATCTATATTAGTCTAGAGATTCAACTGATAGTTATTCACCATTGATGATCCTGTTAGTCTGAAACATAGTGCCAAAGCTTCCAGCATCATATCAATGCACAAGTCATGACACGGGTCAAAACTAACAGAACAGTGGTGAATGATAGAGAACAACGTTATGCCTAACTTTTTTAAAGATTCTTGTACAAAATAAACAAAGTTTTTCTTACACTCACTTGGACTAATGTTCACTCTCATGTTGGATGAGACGAGAGATGTCAGTGAAAAAGACAAAATCAAATATTCAGCTATGCCAGATCAATGAATTATTTCCATGCATATTTGTGACTAATATAAATAACAGAATTTACGTTCTTTTATTACAGAACATCTTATCCACTCTCATTGTAAGTATGTTCTAATAGAATGCTATTAATTAAATTGTATAGATACTAAACAAAAATAAAGCCTTATAATTCCTTATTAGATTTCTCATTAAACTTTGGCAGGTCTATATTTTATATTATACATCTAAAAGGAATAAAAGTAGCTTTTCAATTACATGGTTTATAAACTAATTAGTAAATTATATACATGAATTAGTATGTCTCTTATTAAGTCCTTCATAATATTTAGAATGTAGGAACATATTTGATATGTTGTTATTGTTGTTGATTGTCATCGAATCGAGTGTGATTCATAGTGACTCCATGAACAAAGGACCTAATGCCTTTACATAACTATAGTCATTTCTCCAAGTTCATAGAGTTTCTAGAGGCAAGTGTTTTAGGAATTGGATGCCACTCCTGCTTCCAAACCTGTTTTACACCTGGGAGTTCCACCAAACACTGTCCACATTGGGAAACCATTATGGTATTTGATAGCCCAATGGTACATGGTTCAACATCACAGCAAACCCAGGTAACTTCATATTGTACATTGACAAAGAGTGATGTACAAAATGGAAGAGTGTTCCTCCAGATATAATAGCACTACTTTCATCTAGCAGTGGTTAAGTGTGCTCAAGTCAAACACAACTGAGAGTAAGCTTTGCACAAAAGACCTGAACTCTATTCTAAAACTAACATAATTTCTGTACAGAAACTTATATAACTAACAATTTCTGTACATTTAGAGAGTTTGTAGAGTTTAGACTTTGTAGAGTTTCCAGAGGCATCTAGTTTAGGAAGTGGAGGCCACTCCTGCTTCCGAGCATAAATCAGTCTTGAAGCTCATCCAAACTTTGTGTATAATGGGTAACTATTACGGTGGTTGACAAAAATACAGAACAACTAAATTGTTCAGTTCAGCAAATAGACAAAAGATTGCTGTATCATTTAAAGAATAGTCATTCCTGTGGGGTTTTAAAGCCACACCATTGAGTAGACTTCCACCCTAGGCAAAGGCACAAGGACATCACTCTTGGGGAAGGAGGGCAGAGCAGTAATATACATCAAACATGACCCCCAAAACTTCCTTTATGTGCCCATTAGAATGGCCATCAAGATGCAACAAACAGCCAAACTCCCAGAGTGGAGTGGTTTTGTTTTTGTTTTTTGTTTTGTTTTCTGTTTGTTTGTTTTTTATCTCACTGCCCTAAAGTCAGAGGCAACTCCCAGCAATGCTTGAATACAGTTCACTTGAAATAAGTTTATATATA